TGGCGGAAGAGACGATTGGGTAGAAGTGTGAACCGCGATTCATGTCGTGCGCGTTAACCTCTGGAATTAAAAAGTTAATTGCCAACTTAACACCTCTTACCTAGAAATAAAGCCTTAGAACATAGATTGACTTAAGAAATCTATACTGAAGCTTGGCTTTGTTATTACGGATTTGTCAAGGAGATAGATAATAAGTGGCTTTTCTGCTTAATAACTCTAAACTCTAGAAGTAACAATAGAAATGCATTGTATGAAATCAATTTATGTACCGTCTGGTTGTGCAGATCCAGTAGCTCCTAAGATATAATAGCTCTTATCCAAACTCCATATATGACCATTCTTTCTGTCAATTTGTGGAATGATTTGTTGAGTGAATTGACATACAAGACGACCATCAACAACTTGCGATGAGATGTTTGAGAAAAATGTGCGATGTTCATCCTGAAATAAAAACTTTTTATGTATTGTCAGATGTTAAATTTTTATAACACTAACAAATGTATATGAAAAAGTTTTAGTGGAACTCTTCGAACAATTCGGCTAAATGTCATCCACATTTGGTAACTTTTCCCTTCTCGTTTTACTCACCAAAATATGCTAATAAGCAAGCGAAATTCATATTCATGAATGATTTTCCATAAGTCTTCTTAATACCCCATGAACGATCCAGCAGCATATAACAACAATCACAATCTATGTTTCTAATCAGTTAATAAAAACCAGAAAAAAAAGGTGGCGAAAACAAACGCTCCATTTGCAGCATTATGGCAACATCCATCTATTATTTGGTCAGCAAAACATGGACTAAGCTCTTGAAAAAAAAATTTGGCAACAGTGATTTGATTTCCACAAAATATTTGAATTTCTTCTTTACATACTCCACATTTTAAAAAGTGAACTTCTGAGATTTTAGAAAAAAAAGCACTCACATCGTTTAAGAACACGCGATCATTGGAGTTTCCGTGATTGTAGGAAACAAATACTTCAGGCTCCCAGCTAGCGAACTGTCCCATATCACTCATAACGCATTCGGTCACAAAGTCTTCTCCCTAAAAAAGACTTAAATTTGTGGGAATCATCATATTATTATTTTAAGCCTAAATTAACGTTTGCAGTTTACGATAATTATAAGGATACTGTGTAGATTCCGCGTTTGATCTGCTTCTCGAGCTTCAGATCTCAACTTGAACAATTCTCCTACTTATTAAATCACATCCTCACATTACAAGTATTCTCCACGTCACCTCCAGGTACTCAGAGAGCATGAGCACCTTATGGTCAAAAAATATTTTAAAATAGGATGCTTTTGTCTACCCGGAGATTATAGCCACACCCATGTAGGTTTAGTCTCTGTCACGAATAAAACCAGTCGTTTATGGGCGTTGTTGCGCTAATTCTGACGTTGTTCAACCAAACGGTAACCAGTGGGTTGCGCTCGTAAACCTCCGCAGAACAGCTTTATAAACGTCGACTACCATATTTAATGATTGTTAGACAAAGATCAGTGCGTCAATGACTTAAACCCGCATACAAAAAGCTTACCATAGTATTATCATTTGAGAACCCAATGGCGATGTATTGTTGTTGAACTGCCGGGATTAGTGAGGTAGCGACCATTTCCACTCGAAGTTTATTTGGTCCAACAACGAAGAAAATCAGACCAATTGTACAGTCCAGGTTTGGATCACAACCGGCTGGTTTGAATAAACATGCTTTTGTTGTCCCACATCCATCTCTAGAAATAGCCATGGATAAACGATCTTTGATGATTGGATTTATCCTGCAGATATAGTTTTTGCTCAATTTCAGTGGTTTTCCTTGTTTGTTTGTTGGAAAGTTGTGGAGTCAACACAACAGAGTTCAGTCTTCATGAATCTAATATCCATTGTTCTCCCGATTAAGATGATCGGTTGAATAGTAGATGCGTGAAATTGATTGAATGAATGAATGATCCGATTAAAGTGCTCAATTGAATGATTGAGTACTCATTCGGATAATTAAATAAGTAATTGAATCTAAGTATCCAATAAGTGATCTGTTTGAGATAAATAGATTGATCGGATGAAATTGAGTGAGTGGATCAATGAATGAATGAGTAAGTGAATGAGCAGATAAATAAGTGTAAGTTTAAACT